CGTCTGCCGACGATATCATTGACACCACCAAGGTTGACTGGTACGGCGCCGACGATCTCGAGTGCCCGCATAACTGGTCAACGTTCAAGAAAACTCTTGTTTCGGCCGAGATAAGCATATTGACCTTCTCGAGTAAGCTTCAAGGTGGACTCGCAATGCTGCATAAACGTTATTGCTAATAACTATTTTGCCATGTGGCAGTCTATATCGGCTCATCCATCGTGACAACCGCCGAGCCCACGTTCATCGAGATCTTCGGTGTATCCCAACAAGTCTCCTCTCTAAGTCTATCGCTCTATGTTCTCGGATATGTGAGGCTGCTCCTCCCATTCACTATGCGTATTCCAAGTATTCCGAAGCTGACCACCTACATCCTCTATCTAGGGCGTAGGCCCACTCTTCTTCAGCCCCCTCTCGGAGGTTCCCACGCTCGGCCGCAACTTCGCCTACATTCTCTCCTTGGGTCTATTTCTGGTAGTCTCCATCGCCGCCTCGCTTGTAGACAACTACCCTGGCTTCCTCGTCGTGCGGTTTCTCCAGGGGTTTCTTGGCAGTCCCGTGCTCGCGACGGGTGGCGCGTCGGCGGCCGACCTCTTCGGCTTCCACAAGCTGTACTACGGGCTCGTGGCGTGGACGTGCGCCGCGTTCGCGGGCCCAGCCATCGGGCCGGTGATCTCAGCCTTCGCGGTTGAGCAGGCTACCTGGCGCTGGACTATGTATGAGCTGCTTATACTAGGCGGTTTCTCGTTCCTGCTCCTTGTATTCCTGATGCCTGAGACGAATGCCGATACGATCTTGCTGCGCCGTGCGCGAAGGCTGAGGCAAATCACGGGTAATGAGGCGTTGCGGTCTGACTCTGAACGCAGGCAAGCGGATATTTCGTTCTTGGGACTCCTGGCCAAGTATTTTTCTACGCCGTTGAAAGTCACTGTGCAGGACCCATCTATCGCCTTTATCAATATCTATACGGCGTTGATTTATGCCATTTATGTACGTCTGTTGCTCGATCCTTCACGTCCTTCAAACTTGGTAATAATCATTATTCACCTGTCTAACGTGCTCCAGTACTCATACTTCGAGTCCTTCCCCCTGGTCTACGAAGGCATCTACAACTTTAGCCTGGGCTCTCTTGGTATCGTCTTCACAGCACTGCTCATCGCCTGCTCCATTGGCGCCGCAACCTACCTTGTCGTTGTGTACAAAATCTACGAGCCCTACACCATCAAGAACGGCGTCGGCGTGCCCGAGTTCCGCCTCGTGCCCGGTATATGGACCGCGGTGACCGCGCCCATCGGCGTCTTGATTTTTGGGCTTACGGCGAGGCCTAATATCCATTGGGCTGTGCCTACATTGGGTGTTTTGATTTATTCCGCTTCGCAGTTTGTGGTTAGTCCTGAACAGCGGATCAGTATTTGATTTATTCCTTCCGATTTTCGAGCTGCTGCTGACGTCTGAACACTCGTATAGATCGGCGCTGTCATCTTCTTCTACCTCGCCACGTCCTACCCGCGATATTCTGCCAGCCTCTTTGCAGGGAACAGTACGTGTCATGAATATCCCTAGTCTACTTTCAATCTGCGTAGCGCCCAAAGATACTAATGAGGCCCTCTGTCACAGCATTCTTCCGCAGTGCACTGGCAGCCGGCGCCGTCCACTATTCGCAGCCACTCTTCGGCAATCTGGGCATTGCCGGAGGCTGTGGTGTTCTTGCCGGTCTGCTCGTTGCTTGCTTCTTCGGCATCTCGGCGATCTGGTACTTTGGAGCAAAACTGAGGGCCCGGAGTAAATTTGCAGAGTCATATTGATGCAAATGACGAGAACGACAAAAAATGGGATTGGCTTTCAAACAAACTATCTATGCCTTAGTTGTATGCAACCTACGGCTCAGCAAGTATTCCGTAAAGGTTAGTGCCGAAGTCATCGCGGTGCCCGGTCATCAAGTGACTCGGTGAGCGCTTTCTTTCTCGACCCGAATATGCGGTTAACAAAACACAATAGCTGAGTAGTCGGATGCTGGCCGTGTTTGCAATACTGGTTCTATCCGTGCTCTCCTCACTCGTGTCGCCGGGATCCACCGTCGCCCTAAATAGGCTTCTCTCTCTGGTATGAGCTGGAATACATTCTCCGTATCTCCCTGCCTGCGCGCCCCCCTTCTGGCGGCGTACCACTGGATTTTCTCAAGCCGCATCAAGCCCGGTGTCATGAGCCGGGGGCTTGGAAGGTCCACAATCTGACTGGAACTATTGGCAGTATTTTAAAACTGCCTGTGCTAATAATCTACTTCTCCTTTTTGGCCACATTATACACTAGATAGACACGCCGGCTACGGGCAATCGGAGGATTTTGGGGTTTGGTTCTGTGGTCTTGTTGAGCATCGTCTGGTATGTCTTTGAGGTCAAGCATTGCTTCAAGGGCCTGATCCGATATATTGGTGATTTTAGACTCATATATATGGTATTTAGAATTAAAAGTTACAGATCTTTCGGTAATTAAGGTTTTCTTGGTATGTCGGGAGATCCCTCGTCCTCTATTATCATGTGTTTGACCGGGTGATGGCACGTATGATGAATAGACCAATTTGCTGGCCTGTTGGTCTGGCTATAGGCTTGAACGCTTCTGCGGACATCTACGATTGACTACGGCAGCAGGTAACTACACGAAGTATGGTTTGTCAATACGCAGTGTTGAGTAATAGAAAGTTGGTCTCACAGGAGCCTCGGAGCTTCTCGAGCATTCCGCACGCGTCGGGAGGACTGTTGCCAGTATCTAGGTAGTGCGGCGGAGAACAAACAAAAGACCTACGGAAGTCCGATTTGATATAACCCGGTTGCCAAGATCCACAGTAAGCTCAGTAAATGATCGGTTTGTACTGAATCGATCTTCCATAGCCTATTTGGCTGCTAGCGCGTACTATCTGATAACACAACGAGGGGATCGTCCTGTCGAATGGAGTAGGTTGCAACGTTGCCCGCAATAGCTATAGCGACTGTTGGTATTTGGCGGCATAGAAGTCGAGTCTCGGACAGCTAGTTTACTGGACAATCATCCCATCTCCCGCGCCTTTTTCTATAGAGTATTCGCTCCGCAAACAATCATAAGTTGATTTCCCGCTTCCCAGCGCTCTCACGTAAAAGTATCGTTTCTGTTTTTTTGAGACCGTCTAATCCGGCGTAATCTCGTCGAAATGCGGCCAGTCTATGAAGGCGAAGTAGAATGGGAAATCAGCGCCGGAGTCCCATGCAAAACATGGTTTAAGGTCGTCGGCGACCTGGAAAACCGATCCGGACCGGCCCTCATCGCCCTGCACGGCGGTCCCGGAGCCGGCCACGAGTACCTGTCGCCTCTCTGCGATCTCTACGACCTAGCCGGGATCCCCATCGTGCTGTACGACCAAGTCGGGTGCGGCCGCTCGACGCATTTCCGGGATAGACCAGGCGATGAGTCGTTCTGGACATTCGACCTCTTCTTCAAGGAGCTCGATAGCCTGATCGACCACCTCAAGCTCCGAGAAGACGGGTTTTTCTTGTTCGGCCAGAGCTGGGGCGGCATGCTGGCCGGCAACTTCGCATCGCGCAGGCCGGCAGGCCTGAGGAAGCTGATCATAGAAGGTGGACCGGCCAGCTTTCCGCTATTTGCCGAGGGCTGTCGCAAGCTTATTGCCCAGCTACCGGAGAATGTTAGGAAGACAATCGAGGACTGCGAGCGCCGGGGCGATTTCGAGAGTCCGGAGTGGCAGGAAGCCTCGGCGGAGTTCTACAGGAGACATTTCTGCCGCATCGACCCTATGCCGGACGACGTTAAGGCCGGTCTCGACCACCTACAAGAGGATCCAACGTGCTACGTGACGATGTGAGTATATACCTATAGCAGAATGATTTGTGCGATTGAGACGGGCTTTTACACTGAAGCCTGTGCGTTCTCTGTATTAACGATTGCTTAAAGGGCCGGCCCGTCCGAGTTTACTATCACCGGGTATCTGAAGGACTGGAGCATAGGGGACCGCGCGAGGGACATAGAAGTAGATACGTTGCTCCTGAACGCGGTCTACGACGAGGCGCAGGACGCGTGTATTGAGCCTTGGTTCGCGGGTATTCCTAGGGTCAAATGGGTGACGCTCCAGAACTCGAGTCACATGCTACACTGGGAGGAGCGCGAGACGGTTATGAATTTGTGTCGGGACTTTCTCGTGAAATACTGAGACGGACGTCGGGTTTGTTTTGTGAGGACCGCTCGGGTTTGACTTATATGAGACCTCCGTTTGTTCACACTGGAGTCGGTATGATACAGACCAAGCAATGGCAAGCACTCGCTTACCAAGATGTCCCTTCGTCTGTCAGCATTACATACTAAGTAATATGGCATCGTATACGAGACTGTCCAGTGCGATATCAGATCAGTGTGTAGATAAAAGCGGCGTGGTTCGGTGGTATCTCGTGTCGCCCCGGAGGCAGGTACGGACGTGGTTTTTCGTAGTGTCGTTGGCCGGAGCCGCTTCCGTGCAATCCGCCGCCCGTGAAACCCGGCGACACAGGGCGCCGACTCGCGGGCTTGTGATTGTACCGGCCGGGATCCGTGGTCACGCCCGTTTCTTCACAGGCCGATGTCTATAGCGGACGACTCCTCTAATCCCACGAACCGCCTTCGCAAGGTATTATGGGTGTAATCGTAATCTGGATAAGACCGAGCCATTTTCGGATTTGCAGGTCAGGATTTCAGTGCAAGATAACTCTGCCTTCATCGGTTTTGCTTTTTCGTTTTTGAGGATGAAAAAAAAAGTCGACAGTCCATTCGACTGGGGATTCAGCGCGTCGCGGTGGAGTGAAATTAGTGTCGAAATAAACGCAGAGATAAGGATCCGATCACCCCAAATCCGCCCACTCGGGCACGGCGTCCAAAAGTAAATCCCACAGTCCCAACCAATCCAGTAGGTAGTTAATCGTCAAAACAAGAAAAAAAGAAAAATAAGAAAAGAAATAACACCCCACAAAACAAAAGAAAGACTCCGAATCGGGGAATCGAACCCCGGGCTTGACGGCACGCCATAACACATCCAGACCAAAGCGTGGAAGATGAGATGAGAGCGTCAAATGTTAGCCACTACACCAATTCGGATGAGATAACCAATTGTCGACCTCGGCCGGATTCGAACCGACAATCTTTAGAGAAATCTGATCGTGCTAAGTTTGTTCTTAGCTTGACCGAAATCTAACGCCATGCCATTAGGCCACGAGGCCGTCGCTTGATGGTGGAGTTTAGCGGTGTGTCGGGATGTAATGGCTGTCTGGGCGAGGTTCTCTAGCGGGCTGGATTCGCCGGCCGTCGCCGCGGTGGCGTCGGATGGGGGATCCCGTGCTGACGGCCCGATGGGCTTGGCTGGTGCCGGGCGGTAAGTAGATAGAGTAATCAACTCAGGGATGGCGTCAGTCGCTGGGGTTCGTTGATTCATCGCAATGCACGTGCGGTGTCGATAGTATCGGGACTGAAGCTGACCCTGGCAGGTTAGCGGTTCGGTCAATTACATCCCTAGAACGGGATGAACGGACCCCGGAGACCATATGGTCGCCAGCATTGCCGTGGTTTTTTCACGATCAACTCGAGATGGTAGGCTCTTAACAGGGGCAGCTCTCCGGCGGTTGAAGTTGAGAGGTGGTGGAAGTTATCGCAAAGTCGCGGGGCCGAAATAAAGGTATCCTGGTATTCCGCGACGGCCCCGTACCGGTGGTGATGACGGCGAAAGTGAATGAAGTAGCTAAATTAGGTAGTCAAAACGGGACCAGCCGTCCGAAAGAGAGACGAATATATCACCGCTGAAGGAATAATGTGTCACGATCGGAAAATAGGAAGTTCTGGAAAATAGGCCATCGCGTTCGATATACTAGCGATATAGCAAAGGGGTGAAGCGAAGAGAATAGCCCAATATGAATGGGAGGACCGTCGACAACGCTGTCTATGGTGACGAGGTCCTCCTCTTATATCCCCCGGCCCTATTGGCCGACCGGGAGGCCACCTCACCTTGAGGCCTTTAGGCTCGAGAATGAAGCATCGCACGGCAAAGAAGGGAAAGCAACAGAGACAGAACCAAGCAGAAAGAGACGAAGAAGAGAAAAGAACTGCAGCAGTTCACTCCCGATCATATATAGACACGTCTTTCAAGGCATGGGCTCGTCCTTATAAGCTTACACTAGATACCGCAGACTCCTTAACAATAACTCCCTAACAATAAAAACTCCTTGTAACGAACCCATGCTTTCCACCTAAACGAATACGATTCGATGCTACAACACAGCTAGGCAGAAACCCGATATACCAGCACCATGAAGGCAAACTGAGAAGCGGAAAAGTTAAGAAGTCATGAACAGACACATTTCCGGATGGGTCTATCTCAGTAATAGGTAGGTAGCCAGCCTTATGCGTGTACTATTTGAAGCGGCCAAAGTCTATCTCTTCTAACACCGCCATGTCCCGGTCACGATGGGAGGAAGAAAAAAAAATCTTTGCCAGACCATCGTTGAACCATCCAGTTTCCGGCCATCTCCGTTGCAATCATTACTTTTAAATTTCTTTTCTTTTCCACTGTCGGCCATATTTACTCATGATGCGCGCGACGGACGTTTAGCAATCCGCTTGAACCGTTGTTTTGTTGGGCGGATTGTCTCTAAGACGCATATTATTCTCCCTCGGGCTTGGGGGCCTCGGCATCTGTCATCTCTTCGTCCTTGCTGCCCTCGCTCTTGTCCCCACCGCTGCCCTTTCGGGCGTCCTCTTCAGCTACTTTCTTGGCGGCCGCCTCGGCGTCCAGCCTAGCTTGCACCGCTTGGCGGTCGGCCTCGACCTTGTCGAAGTATCTCTGGTTAATAGGACCCACCAAAGCGCGGATTTCGTCGATCTTGGCAACATAGACACCCTTAGTGCTATCTTCGCCGTCCTCGTACAACCAGTCCTAGGAAATGTAAGCTACTTTGCATAATGAAAAGGGATATTTGGAGAACTTACTTCGGTAGCGGTCAGCTGAGACCTCACCTTGTCCTTCTCCTCCTCACTGGCGAAGTCAGCATACTGGTCATCTAATTTGTTCCGCATGTCGTAAATGTATGTCTCTAATTCGTTCTTCTTTTCCTCTGTGTCGGCCACTAGTTTGTCCTCCATGAGCATGGCCGTCTCTTTCTCGAGTAGGACATTCTTGGTGTTTGCGTCGAGGGAAGTGGTTCCGGCGACAATGGGCAGATCACCCTTCCGAACCTGCTTTTTCACTTTACGCGTCTTGGGCTTGCCATCGTCCTTCTTGTCATCGGTGTCCATCGCCTAAAGAGAAAAAAATTATAGGTTAGTTAAAACGATCCAACAGCAACCAAGACTTCAAACCTATGAGTCCGATATAAAGGGGTATGGGAGGGTTCCCAGGCAAACATACATCAGGATCCTTCTTGTCTCCATCGTCCTTCTTGTCGTCCTTGATCTCCTCCTCGACTTCTTGGTCTTCAACATAGTAACCGCTCTCTACGTTCAAGATACCGTGTATGTTAACCCTTGCCTTAAGTTTGCAGATCATGAATTCGGTCTTGGGGTCAGCCTTGACGCCCTTAACGGAGAAGCGGCCAATGAAGGGAGAAATTTTGCCAGGGAGACCCTCGGGGTTCGAGTATCGAGCCTCTAAATCGAACGGCTGTTTCCGGTAGAAAGTCAAAATCTTGGTAGAAGGTAGCACACCACCCTTGTTGAAAACTGTAAGACTCGTATCCTCATCAGGGATGTCAACGTCCTTTTCCCATGAAAATTCGATAGGGTAGTTAACAATGTCCGCCACGGAGAAGTCGCGGACCTTGAACACGGGAGATAGGATAGCACAAGCGAAGGCGCAACCCCGTGCGATAGCTTCATCCTGGTTCAGAGTGAAAGACAAGGTCTTGCCGAAGAAAGCCTGGATCCTCTCCTTGATAGCCGGCATACGAGTGCTACCGCCAACCAGTTCGATAAAGTCAACATCGTCCTTGGTTATCTTGGCATCGGCAAGCACCTGTTCCAATGGCGACAGAACCTTATTTAGGAGAGGCTCAACTAGGGCCTCGAACTCTTGCCGTGTAACCATAGCGTTCACGTCAATATCGTTCATGAGGGACTCAATGTTCAGGGGAGCCTGCTGGTTGGCAGATAGAATCTTCTTGAGCTTCTCAGCGGCAGCCTCCACACGAGCCATAGCCTTGGGGTTAGTCGCGATATCAATCCGATACTTGCCCTTGAACTCCTTCTGGAAGTGGTTGAGCAGAGCCATGTTGAAATCACGGCCACCAAAATGGCGGTCATAGGCAGTGGCCTTGACCGTCAACTCGCCCTTCTTGAACTCGACAATAGAGCACGAGTAGTTGCTGTGGCCGATGTCGATGAAGCAGACACGGCGGGGCTTCTGATCCTCAGCAGGTAGATCGAGTTTCGTAATACCGTAACCAAGAGCTGCGGCGGTGGTATCATTCATGATCCGAAGTGGTTTGAGGCCAGCAATCTCGGCAGCATCAAGGATACTTCGTCGCTGGATGTCGGTGAACCATGGTGGTACACTCAAGACGACGTCTGTAGCCGGCACCTTGAGCTCGATGGTAGCAGTCTGCTTAATCTTGCTCAGGAACATAGCAATGAGCTGGGTAGCGGAGAATTTCTCCTTCTTGCCCTGGTACATGACCTCGGCACCAACCTGACCATTGCAGTCGACGAGCGCGGCCGAGACATATTGCTGCTCGAGCTGGATGTCAACGTCTTTAAGAGCGCGGCCTGCAAGGCGCTTTAGAGAGGAGACGGTGTTCTTGAGGTTGGAGATTTCTTGTGTCTTAGCGGGCTCGCCAAGGTACCGGGACTTGGGGCCGAAGCCCACGAGGGAACTGAAAACCGACGGCATTAGTTGAGAAACCAAGACAAGCCATGGTCGGCCCGGCACAGGCAGGGCGATACTTACGGTGTCGCACGGTTCGAGACTTCGTTGGTGATCTAATCAATCAAACGATCCATCAGCTCTAAGAGGCCCGCAACAGAGAGCAGTACGGGATGTACAAGGAGAAGGGTAGTACGCACAACATCGACACCTCGATTTCTCGCTACGGCAACGACCGTATTGAGCGTTCCGAAATCAACACCTAGCGAGAGACAAAGTCGTGTCAGTAGATAGTAGACAAAGAGACGGACAAGAAAGAACACAAAAACATCGGCGCAAGACAACGTACCAACGACACTCATGTTGTTTGAGCAAATCTAAACAAGGCGTGGTTTGTTTCGTTGCAAGAATTTGGGGGGGGGGGGGGGGATATGTGTAGACGGGTTTACTCGAGGGGGTATGGCGACAAGGGCAAACCGAGAAAGTCGGACAGACGATGCTCGGAAGCGATAGAGAGCGGGCAGTGAGATGAAAACCAAGAGGTCTAGTGGATGGCGGGAATGCAGCAACCTGAGTTCCTCTCTAAGGTAGACAGAAGCGGGAAACAAAATGAAGAAACGCTGCCCAGATGCGCAGGAGATGTCGAGAGGTAAGGCCGGGTCGGGTCAGGTAAAGTTGGTAAGGTAGAGTCGATGGTCAAGAGGAGGGACGGCGGTTGAATTTTGGTCTAGGCTAGCACCCACGTTACCCCTCTTTAGCCACACCCCCGGGCGGGGCAAATCGTTAATCGGCTCGGTTCTGCGAATCTTCTAGAGGCTTCAAGCGCTAACAACAATGGCCAAGAAGAAAAATTTCAACCATGGATCGACGCACGCGGACGGTTTGAGGTAGCTCTGAGCCACTCATCCGCCGCCTTGTCTGACACTAGGAACCAGGTAAATTCCCATGAAAAATCGAGAATGCGCTGCCAAGTCTTGCCGGTCTATGACTCTTTCCTGCCGCCCCGACTTTCACCTAACCATTCCGTATGTACATACCTGAGGTAACCGGGCTGCCTCTCTATCGCGGCATGACGAATAATGCTGGCTATGAACACCCCCAGCCTCGCACTATCGCCACTCCCTTATCACCCCGCCTTCGGTGCCTTATCGGTTTTTTCCTTGGTGAATTCCTACGTGCCAGTTCGGACGTCCCGACTCGTGGCGGGGTCGTATACGGGATCCCGTCGTATATCCAGGAGGTTAGGTAAGTAAGGTATGAAGAACTAACTTCCTATCTCTTCATCTACTTCGTGTTAGGTAGACAATCTAAGTACTACGAAGCACATCATACGTCAGGTTGTACATTGCATTTGGGTTTTTTATGGAGTTTTCT